TGGGAAATTTTTGGTGCCTCTCCCCCCCCCCATACAAAAATACTCCTACGACCCTGTATATAAGCTAAATAAAGTCATACTCTATCCTAAAATAGGTAACATACACTCGCTACTGACGTTAAGTTGAAGTCTACTCCACACAACTTTAAATCAAGCCAAGTAACATATACTAGTCATCCCATCGTACTGAAGATAAAGCAAATCATACACTAAAAAAAAAATTACGTTACTTTCAACTAGATAAAAACGTAAACTATTTCCCATTCCACTGCAAACCAAGATAAATCATAGTACCAAACTATTTATACTAACTTACTATACCGAGACTTGTCTACGTCCTGCTGTATCCTGACATAAGCAATACAACCGAAGTTAAGCACACCAACTGTCTATAATAGAGTGATGCAACCGAAGTTAAGCACACCAACTGTCTATAATAGAGTGATGCAACCGAAGTTAAGCACACCAACTGTCTATAATAAAGTGATGCAACCGAAGTTAAGCACACCAACTGTCTATAATAGAGTTATGCAACCGAAGTTAAGCACACCAACTGTCTATAATAGAGTTATGCAACCGAAGTTAAGCACACCAACTGTCTATAATAAAGTATTGTACCGAAGTTAAGCACACCAACTGTCTATAATAAAGTAGTGTACCGAAGGTAAGCACACCAACTGTCTATAATAGAGTAGTGTACCGCAGTTAAGCACACCAACTGTCTATAATAGAGTAGTATTCCGAAGTTGAGCACAACAACTGTCTATAATAGAGTAGTGTACCAACTGTCTATAATAGAGTAGTGTACCGAAGTTGAGCACACCAACTGTCTATAATAGAGTAGTGTACCGAAGTTGAGCACACCAACTGTCTATAATAGAGTAGTGTACCGAAGTTGAGCACACCAACTGTCTATAATAGAGTAGTGTACCGAAGTTGAGCACACCAAATGTCTATAATAGAGTAGTGTACCGAAATTAAGCACACCAACTGTCTATAATAGAGTAGTATACCGAAGTTGAGCACACCAACTGTCTATAATAGAGTAGTGTACCAACTGTCTATAATAGAGTAGTGTACCGAAGTTGAGCACACCAACTGTCTATAATAGAGTAGTATACCGAAGTTGAGCACACCAAATGTCTATAATAGAGTAGTGTACCGAAGTTGAGCACATTAACTGTCTATAATAGAGTAGTGTACCGAAGTTGAGCACATTAACTGTCTATAATAGAGTAGTGTACCGAAGTTGAGCACATTAACTGTCTATAATAGAGTAGTGTAC